CATAAACTCACGGTGAACGGCTTGCACTCCTGGAAGGTGAACGAGAGGAACGTCTAGCTCGACGGGATGGAGAGCGTGATCTGGTGCGTCGTGCAGAAGATCGAGAGCGTTCGCGTCTATCACGAGGTGAAAACGACTTCACAGGAGAACGAGAGCGAGTGCGCGATCCCGATCTTGACAGCGTTCGCGACATTGACCTCTCGCGCTGGAACGAAAAAGGCCAATTTTGTTGACAACTTTTTTTGCCATACAACCACGAAACCAACTTCACCCTAGACCTTTTACCATTAAAGCAAAAGGTTCGCGCTTGTATTTTGCATTCAAACACCATGGTTGTTCTTAAACTGTCGTATTCACAGTTATTACTGTAAAAAGTCCTATATGTGTAGGAGCTAATTCTTTGTGTATTCTGACGTAATTCTAAGATTTCTCCTTTCGAGAACCTTGTGTTTCAATGGCGTGTACTCACCACAGTGACGAATCTTCATTTTGCTGACAACTTGAATTTAGCTCCGCTTCTGAACATTTCTTCATTTCTTCTTACTTCTTATTTACTGTGGGCATCAAGTCTTCATTTTCTTCGCGACTTCTTCTAATTCGCCAACCATGAATGAGTTCGAGATCCTCACAGACAAACACCAATAAACAAAACGAAGTGTTCGACAGCAGTTTGACAAATAAGAAACCTATCCCCAAATGAGATGATAAATATGGAACGTTAGTATAGCAAGATCGGAGTAGTATGTCGGTATTCGAAGAGTGATCAACTTTGAACTGAATAAAGCTAAAGTTTACGAAGCTAAGTAAACAGCAAACTTGCAGCGGACCACCCAACTAAACCCACTGTTGTGCAGACATTGAGGGCTGAGAAGCATGCGTTAGCCTCGAGGAAAAACAAAGTTACAATAGGAGAAAACAAAGGCAGCTACATCAATTTACAGACAACTACAAGCGTCGCTTGAAATAAGGACTTCATGAGTAGGCCGCAAGCTAGCCACATACAGTCTGCAGTCAATAACCGGTGCGCACAGTCTAAAGCATTATGCTGGAATTCTTTCACGTAAAATAAGCTTTGGCATGATCATTAATTCTGGAAATAGCCACATTTTAGTTGTGAATTCTGCCCCCGAGCTTGAAAAAAGAGCTGATAAATTTACCTAGCAAAAGACGTTGTACATCAGTCATGAGAATTCTAAAAAGAAGCCGCCGTTACTCCTAGTGTTCCATCGAGTTCTCCAAAATATCAGGACCTCTGACAAACTTTGGCTTGTGAAAAAAATAGTGTCTGACGTTTCGACTCAGCAAAAGCGGTCCAAATTCTGACCATCACAAAACCAAAGCGTTCGAATTCTGCTGTTCATGTATTACCATAAAGGAGATATCAACAATGTGCTATACTTATAACATTGGATTGTCAGTACACCCATAAAGATTTTTGACTGACTATGCTCACAACAAACAGGACTCAAAAAATTGACCACAACAGAACTTTCAAAACAACCTGATATCCTATGTGATACCTTTGCCAAAAATGTGATTTAGAGATGGTATTTTGCAAGCATAACAATCACTCTGAATGAAAAC